TGGAAAAAAGCCTTACATTAAAAGAAAAAAGTCAACAGAATTTATCATCAGATGTTCTTTAGAGAGAAGCAAAATGATATAGGTCAGAAACTCAGATCTACATTTAAAAAATAAAGCATCAAAGAAGGAATAAATTTAGATAAAATAAAATCTTCTATCTTTTATATTAACTTAAAAAAACAGACAGATATTTGTTCAAAGTAATAGTAATAACATTCTTTGTGATTACAGCATATAGATAGGTAAAATAAATGATAATTTTATAAGGACAGGAGGGAGGCATTGGGAACACTCTGTTATAAGGTATCAGCTCTACCTGAGAAGCAGTACAGTGTTATTTAAATGTAGGTGTAGATTAATTGTAAATGTGCATTGCAAACTCTAGGGCAACTACTAAAAAATTTTTAAATGAAGTATAAGCCATACGTTAAGACAAGAGAGAAAATTGAATCATATAAAATGTTCAGGTAAAACCAGAGAAGGCAGAAAAAGAGGGGAGAGGGAAAAAAAGAAATAAAGAAAAAGGGCAGCAAACAGAAAACAGTTCCAATGTGGTACATATTACTCTAACTATATCAATAATCACTTTGTGAATTTTCTAAATACTACAATTAAAAGTCAGAGACTGTCAAAGTAGATACAAACAGGCCCCAACCAAAATGTTGTCTACAAGAAATCCACTTTAAATATAAAGACACAGACAGGTTAAAAGTTAAGAAGTGTAAAAAGATATGCTAATCATGCTAACACTAATTGTAATACTCATCAGAAGTCAGTTGCAGTAGCTATAGTAGTTTCAGACAAAGCAGACTTTAGAACAAAGAAAAGTATCAGGGACAAAGAAATCAAAGATCTAACTAAAGGGAGAGATATTCCATGTTCAAGGATTGGAAGACTCCATATTATTAAGACGTCAATTTTTCCCAACTTTATCTACAGATTCAATGAAATTCCAATCAAAATCACAGCAAACTAATTTGTGGATATGGACAAATCGATTCTAAAGTTTATATGAAAAGGCAAAAGACCCAGAATAGCAAACACAATACTGAAGAGGAAGAAGAATGAACTTTGAGACTGACACTACTTGACTTCAAGACTTATCGGAAAGCTATGGCACTCAAGACAGCATAGTATTGTCAAAAGAATAGACACATAAATCAATGGAATAGAACAGAGAGCCCAGAAACAAACCCACACAAACAGAGTAAACTGAACTTTGACAAAGAAGCAAAGGCAATTCAATGGAGAAAGGATGGTTTTTTGAATGAATGGTGTTGGAACAACTGAACGTTCATTGCAAAAAAAAAAAAATTGTTCTACACCTAGACCTTACACCTTTCACAAAAACTAACTCAAAAACACAAAACACAAAACTATAAAACTTCTAGAAGAAACATAAAATGCAAAACTATAAAACTTCCAAAAGAAAACAGAATACCTAGTTGACATTAAATTTGACAATGAGTTTTTAGATGCATCAAAAGCAAGATCCATGAAATAAAAAATTGATAAATTGGACTTTATTAGAATTAAAAATACCTACTCCGTGAAAGAGAATGAAAAAACAAGCCACAGATTGGGGGAAAATATTTGCAAACATATCTGATATAGAAGTTATATACAAAAGATACGAAGAACTCTCCAAACTTAACAATGAGAAAAGAAACAACCCAATTTAAAAGTGGGGAAAAGATCTGAACAGATATCTCATTAAAGAAGATATACGGATGGCAAGTAAGCATATGAAAGATGTCGAACAATACATGTTATTAGGGAACTGAAATTAAAATGATGAGATACCACTACATATCTATTAGAAAGGCTAAAATCCAAAACATTGACAACGTCCAACGCTGGTGACGATGTGGAGCAACAGAAACTCTCATTCATTGCTGGTGGAAATGCAAAATGGTATAGCCACTTTGGAAGACAGTTTGGCAATTTTTTAAAAAGCTAAACATAGTCTTACCATATGATACAGCAATTGCACTGCTAGGTATTCACCTGCCTGATTAAAAAACTTATGTCTAAGACACACAAAAAACCTGCATGCAAATGTTGATAGCAGTTTTATTCATAATCGCCAAATCCTGGAAGCAACCAAAGTGCCCTTCAATAGGGGAATGAATAGACTGTGATACAACCATACAATGAAATATAATTAATATTAAAGTGAAATGAGCATTGATATTGATAGCGGTATTATTCACAATAGCCAAAATTCTGAAAACAATCCAAATGTCCATCAACAGATAAGTGGATAAAGAAAACACAGCATATTACATACAATGGAATATTTCTCAGCCTTAAAAAGGAATGAAATTCTGACACATGCTACAACATGAATAATCCTTGAAAAGCTTATAAGTGAAAAAAACTAGACATAAAAGGAAAACTATCATTTGATTTCACTTATATGGGTTTCCTAGAATAGGCAAATTCATAGAGACAGAAAGTAGAATTAGATGTTACTAGGAGCTGAGAGAACGGAGAATGGAGAGATATTGTGTAATGGGTACAGAGTTCCAGTTGGGGATGGTGAAAAAGTTCTGGAAGCAAATAGTGGTGATGGTTGCATAACAATGTGAACGTGCCTAATGACACTGAATTGTATACTTAAAAATGATTAAAATGGTAAATTTTATGGTATATATGTTTTACCACAATATGTATGACATAGTAAATTGAAAACATTTGTTGAAAGAGGAAAAAAATAAAATGAGCTATCCAGCCACAATGACATGGATAAATCTAAAACGCATATCGCTAAGCGAAAGAAAGCAGTCTGAGTAGTCTATATACTGTATGATTTCACTTATATGACATTCTTGTAAAGGCAAAACTGTAGAGACAGTAAAAAGATCAGTGATTGTCAGGGGTGTGGGACAGGAGGGCGGCTTTAATAGGTGAAGCGTAGGGGATATTTTTGGGCAGTGAAACTATCTGTACGATACTGAAATAGCAGACACATGACACTATGCATTTCTCAAAACCTATGGAACTTCATAGCACAAAGAGTGAACTTTGATGTATGCAAATTGAAAAATCATTTATGAGGTGGGAGGATCCAGGGTAGAATGCAGACTGTGACAAGAAAATAAAACTATGTTAAAAAATATGAAGCAATTTCGCTGAAGGGGATGGTGGCAAAGGTGCTGACCTAGGTATCTTTGGAAATGAGTGGATTCTGTAAGACTAAAAGGAACTGCACATAAGCACTGTGATCTAGTTAATACAGTTATTTCCCAAAGGAGTATGGGTTCTGTTACTGCTATACATGTATACTGGAACAATTAAGTAAATGTATTATGGATGGTGGGAGCTACTTTCTCACTGCTGGAATAGGAATTAACAGATAAGCTAGGAGAGGAGGCTAGAATGATCTGTGTGATAATGGATTATTGTTTGGAGCTATTAGTAATAACTCATGTTTAACTTAATATAAACACAGATTCTTTATATATATATATATATCTCTGTGGTTTTATATATGGGTGTGTATATATATATATATATGTTATTCATAACATATACATAAGTTAGCATTCATGCATATATTTCCTTGCTAGGTCAGCTGAGAGGGACTACAAGCAATTACACCCCAGTAGCAATGAGCATACCTAGCGCCCAAATTCTGGTTTCTAATACCATTCTCCAATTAAAAAGAACAGGGCTCCTTGAGGAAATGTCTGATTCTAGGACTGGAACAGGAAATATAGAAGAGGAGACTGAAGTATTTTGTAGTGCCAGAAAGCAAGGAAGTGCTCAAAAACACAAAAACAAACAAAACCCCACACTGATAGATGTATGTCAAAAGGACACAGGAGTCAACTGAAAGGGATCCGAATGGCTGAAGCTGGAACAATTGAGCAACAAAATAAAGCAGTATTGTAAGATATCCCAAAGTATAAATGAACATCCGTGAGTCCATACGGATATAAATAAATGATTATATAAATAAATAGATGAGAGAGAATAGATAACTCTACAATGCAGAAGAATTCAAAATAATTTATTCCAGAAGGTAGATACTCCACCCAAAAGGCAGAGGGGCATAACTCCCTGTTCCTTAAACGTGAGGTACACATAGTGACTTCCTTCCAAAGAGGACAGTGTGGAAAGGAGGGAAAAGAGTAAGTTTACAGTGGAGAAACCTGACATACACTACCTCAGTCAGGTGATCAAGGTCAACGTCAACAGTGATAAATCATGTTGATAGCAAGGACTCTTGATATGACATTTTAAAATGACACTTTACTTCTGTGGTCTTCCTTCCCAAAATCCGTAATACAAGTCTATTCATGAGATAAACATCAGATAAACTACAATTAGGGGTATTCTACAAAATACTTGACTGGTATTCCTCAGAACTATCAAGGTAATAAAAAACAAATATATCAGAAAAACTGTCACACCCAAGAGGAGCCTGAGGAGACATGACAACTCCATGTAATGTGGTATTCTGGTGGGGATTCTGGAACAGAAAAAGGACATAAAAACTAAGGAAATCTGAATAAACTATGGTCTTTAGTTCATAGCAACATATCAGTATTAGTTCATTAGCTGTAGCAAATGTGTACTAGTAAGGCAAGATGTCAATGATAGGAGAAACCGGGTGTGGGGACATAAAATTACTGTACTAGTCTCTTAATTATTCTGTAAGTCTAAAACTTCTAAAAACTACTTCCTTAACAAAGCAAATATAATCGTATTGAGAACAATAGGAAAGATGGATTTGCTCAAATCCTTTTTTGGAAATTGCCGAGTTAGGCGTTACGTGAAGGGAAAGTGTTCCAGTTTGGAAAAAAAAAGTGTGGTTTTGCAAAAACAAACTCAAGTCTTTACCAAAACTTTCCAAAATAATTCACATTTGGCTTAAGGAAACAAATTCTATTGTACATTATGATAAATTGAGGTATTCTCAGACACGTCCTCCAAATTCTTAACTATTTATTCACTCGTTCAGTTGGAAACATGATGTAACTCCTACGAATTTAACACTGTGCCATGTCTCAGGCTGCAATGATCAATCAAATTCAGCACATAACTTCAAGGAGCTCAGTCTGATGGGGAAAATCAATTATAAACAGGGAACTACAACGAGACAATCAGATCCCTAACTGTGGGATGAAATTGTGCTGTGAGAACACAGAAGAGGAAGAGGCAAGCGGAGGCCAGAAGAGGCTTCTCAGAGGAGGTGACGTTTCGCCTGAGACTTCACAGGTGAGAATGGAATGCTTTTTACCTTCCAATTGTTTGGGCACAGGGAACAATGTATGCAAAGGCCCTGCAGCCTGTGGGAGCACAGGCTAGTTGGGAAACCTGAGCTGTGGGGGGTGAGAAAGCGGTCCTCTCATGAGGGGGCTGGCCCTGATCTGTATCCGGCTGGTCTCTTCCTCACCCCAAAGCCACCAACTGCAGAGAATCTGTGCCTGCCTTTTTTTTTTTTTTTTTTTTTTTTTTTTTTTTTATTAATGTTATGATAGATTACAACCTTGTGAGATTTCAGTTGTACATTTTTGTTAGTCATGTTGTGGGTACACCACTTCCCCCTCTGTACCCTCCCCCCACCCCCCCTTTTCCCTGGTAACCACCGATCAGATCTCCTTATCAATATGCTAATTTCCACCTATGAGTGGAGTCATATAGAGTTCGTCTTTCTCTGACTGACTTATTTCGCTAAACACAATGCCCTCGAGGTCCATCCACATTGTTGCGAATGGGCCAATTTCGTCTTTTTTTATGGCTGAGTAGTATTCCATTGTGTATATATACCACATCTTCTTTATCCAATCATCAGTTTCTGGGCATGTAGGCTGGTTCCACGTCTTGGCTATTGTAAACAATGCCGCGATGAACATAGGGGTGCAACGGACTCTTGAGATATCTGATATCAGGTTCTTAGGATAGATACCCAGTAATGGGATGGCTGGGTCATAGGGTATTTCTATTTTTAACTTCTTGAGAAATCTCCATACTGCCTTCCACAGTGGCTGCACCAGTTTGCATTCCCACCAACAGTGTACGAGGGCTCCTCTTTCTCCACAACCTCTCCAACACCTGTCGTTCTTGGTTTTGGATGTTTTTGCCAATCTAACGGGGGTAAGGTGATATCTTAGTGTAGTTTTGACTTGCATTTCCCTGATGATTAGCGATGATGAACATCCTCTCATGTGTCTATTGGCCATATTCATATCTTCTTTTGAGAAATGTCTGTTCATGTCCTCTGCCCATTTTTTGATCGGGTTGTTTGTTTTTTTGTTGTTAAGCAGTGTGAGTTCTTTGTATATTATGGAGATTAACCCTTTGTCGGATAAGTGGCTTGTAAATATTTTTTCCCAATTAGTGAGCTGTTTTTTTGTTTCAATCCTGTTTTCCCTTGCCTTGAAGAAGCTCTTTAGTCTGATGAAGTCCCATTTGTTTATTCTTTCTATTGTTTCCCTCAACTGAGGAGTTACAGTGTCCGAAAAGATTCTTTTGAAACTGATGTCAAAGAGTGTACTGCCTATATTCTCTTCCAAAAGACTTATTGTCTCAGGCCTAATCTTTAGGTCTTTGATCCATTTTGAGTTTATTTTGGTGTGTGGTGAAAAAGAATGGTCAATTTTCAATCTTTTGCATGTGGCTGTCCAGTTTTCCCAGCACCATTTGTTGAAGAGACTTTCTTTTCTCCATTGTAGGCCCTCTGCTCCTTTGTCGAAGATTAGCTGTCCATAGATGTGTGGTTTTATCTCTGGGCTTTCAATTCTGTTCCATTGATCTGTGGACCTGTTTTTGTACCAGTACCATGCTGTTTTGATCACTGTAGCTTTGTAGTATGTTTTGAAATCGGGGATTGTGATTCCGCCGGCTTTGTTTTTCTTGCTCAGGATTGCTTTAGCAATTCGCGGTCTTTTGTTGCCCCATATGAATTTTAGGATTGTTTGTTCAATTTCTGTGAAGAATGTTCTTGGGATTCTGATTGGGATAGCATTGAACCTGTATATTGCTTTAGGTAGTATGGACATTTTACCTATGTTTATTCTTCCAATCCATGTGCAAGGAATGTTTTTCCATCTCTTTATGTCATCGCCTATTTCTTTCAAGAAAGTCTTGTAGTTTTCATTGTATAGATCCTTCACTTCCTTGGTTAAGTTTATCCCAAGGTATTTTATTCTTTTCGTTGCGATTGTGAATGGGATAGAGTTCTTGAGTTCTTTTTCTGTTAGTTTATTGTTAGTGTATAGAAATGCTACTGATTTATGCACGTTAATTTTATACCCTGCTACTTTGCTGTAGTTGTTGATTATTTCTAATAGTTTTTCTGTGGATTCTTTGGGGTTTTCTATGTATAAGATCATGTCGTCTGCAAACAACGAGAGTTTTACTTCTTCGTTACCTATTTGGATTCCTTTTATTTCTTTTTCCTGCCGAATTGCTCTGGCCAGCACCTCCAGAACTATGTTGAATAGGAGTGGTGAAAGTGGGCACCCTTGTCTTGTTCCTGTCCTCAGAGGGATGGCTTTCAGCTTTTGTCCGTTGAGTATGATGTTGGCTGTGGGTCTATCATATATGGCCTTTATTATGTTGAGGTACTTTCCTTCTATACCCATTTTACTGAGGGTTTTTATCATAAATGGGTGTTGGATCTTGTCGAATGCTTTCTCTGCATCTATTGAGATGATCATGTGGTTTTTGGTTTTCATTTTGTTGATGTAGTGTATCACGTTGATTGACTTGCGGATGTTGAACCATCCCTGTGTCCCTGGTATAAATCCCACTTGATCATGGTGTATAATCTTTTTGATGTATTGCTGTAATCGGTTAGCCAAAATTTTGTTGAGGATTTTTGCATCTATGTTCATCAGTGATATCGGCCTGTAGTTCTCCTTCTTTGTGTTGTCCTTGTCAGGTTTGGGGATCAGAGTGATGTTGGCTTCATAGAATGTGTTAGGGAGTTCTCCATCTTTCTCAATTTTCTGAAACAGTTTGAGGAGAATAGGTATTAAGTCTTCTTTGAATGTTTGGTAGAATTCTCCAGAGAAGCCGTCTGGTCCTGGACTCTTATTTTTGGGGAGGTTTTTGATTACCGTTTCTATTTCCTTACTTGTGATTGGTCTATTCAGATTCTCCATTTCTTCCTGATTCAGTTTGGGGAGATTGTAGGAGTCTAGGAATTTGTCCATTTCTTCCAGGTTGTTCAATTTGTTGGCATATAGTTTTTCATAGTATTCTCTTATGATCTCTTGTATTTCATTGGTATCTGTTGTGATTTCTCCTCTGTCATTCCTGATTTTATTAATTTGCGATTTCTCTCTTCTTTTCTTGGTGAGTCTGGCTAGGGGTTTGTCAATTTTGTTAATTCTTTCGAAGAACCAACTCTTTGTTTCATTGATCCTTTCTATTGTCTTTTTTGTTTCAATATCGTTTATTTCTGCTCTTATTTTTATTATTTCCCTCCTTCTACTGACTCTGGGCCTTGTTTGTTCTTCTTTTTCTAGTTCTGTTAGGTGTCGTTTGAGGTTGCTTACGTGAGCTTTTTCTTGTTTAGTGAGGTGAGCCTGTATTGCGATGAATTTCCCTCTTAGGACTGCTTTTGCTGCATCCCAAATGATTTGGTATGTCGTGTTCTCATTTTCATTTGTCTCCAGATAATATTTGATTTCTTCTTTAATTTCTTCAATGATCCATTGTTTGTTGAGAAGCGTGTTGTTTAGTCTCCACATTTTTGCACCTTTCTCTGCTTTTTTCTTGTAGTTGATTTCTAGTTTAATAGCGTTATGATCAGAAAAGATGCTTGATATTATTTCAACTCTCTTGTATTTATTGATGTTTGCTTTGGTTCCCAAAATATGGTCAATCCTTGAGAATGTTCCATGTGCACTTGAGAAGAATGTGTAACCTGCTGTTTTTGGATGAAGTGTTCTATATATATCTATTAAGTCCATCTGGTCTAATTTTTCATTTAATTCTATTATTTCCTTGTTGATTTTCTGTCTGGATGTTCTGTCCATTGGTGTTAATGGTGTGTTGAGGTCCCCTACTATTATTGTATTGTTGTTGATGTCTTCTTTTAGTTCTATTAAGAGTTGCTTTACAAATTTTGGTGCTCCTGTGTTGGGTGCGTATATATTTATAAGTGTTATGTCTTCTTGGTGGAGAGTCCCTTTTATCATTATATACTGTCCCTCTTTGTCTTTCTTTATCTGTTTTGCTTTGAAATCTACCTTGTCTGATATTAGTATAGCGACACCTGCTTTCTTTTGTTCATTATTAGCTTGGAGTATTGTTCTCCATCCCTTCACTCTGAGTCTGTGTTTGTCTTTGGGGCTGAGGTGTGTTTCCTGGAGGCAGCATATTGTTGGATCTTGTTCTTTGATCCATCCTGCCACTCTGTGTCTTTTGATTGGGGAGTTCAATCCATTTACATTTAGAGTGATTATTGAGACGTGGGGACCTACCACTACCATTTTGTGTCTTGTTTTCCGGTTTTCTTCAATTTCCTTTGTTTCTCGTCCCATGGTTTAATCTGTTCTGATGTAGAGCTGCTACTCTCTGTTGTTGTCCTTCTACTTATCTCCTCTGCTCTTGGTTTTGTAGCCCCTTTCCTTTTTTGGATTTTTCAGGAATGAGGGTTTTCCTGAGGATTTCCTGAAGAGGAGGTTTTGTGGCAATGAACTCCCTTAATTTTTGTTTATCTGGGAAAGTTTTTATTTCTCCATCGTATTTGAAGGATATTTTCGCTGGGTAGAGAATTCTCGGCTGTAGGTTTTTGTCCTTCAGATTTTTGAATATATCATTCCACTCTCTTCTAGCCTGTAAAGTTTCTGCTGATAAATCTGCTGATAGCCTGATGGGGGTTCCTTTGTAGGTTAGTTTCTTTTGCCTGGCTGTCCTTAATATTTTCTCCTTGTCGTTGACTTTTGCTAGCTTCACTACTATATGCCGTGGAGTTGGTCTTCTTGCATTGATAAAGTTTGGAGATCTATTGGCTTCTGTCACCTGAAGATCCATCTCCCTCACCAGATTTGGGAAGTTCTCAGCCATTATTTCTTTGAATAGGTTTTCTGCCCCTTTCTCCTTCTCTTCTCCCTCTGGTATACCTATAATCCTTACGTTGCATCTCCTAATTGTGTCTGATAATTCTCGGAGAGTTTCTTCATTTCTTTTAAGTCTTGCTTCTCTCTCCTCCTCTGCCTGCAACAATTCTATATTGCCATCTTCCAAATTGCTAATTCTTTCCTCCATATTATCGGCCCTACTGTTCAGAGCATCTAGATTTTTCTTAATCTCCTCTATTGTGTTCTTCATTTCCAATATTTCTGTTTGGTTCTTCTTTATCGTATCAAACTCTTTTGTGACATAGCTCCTGAACTCGTTGAGTTGTCGGTCAGAATTCTCTCTTAACTCAGTGAGTATTTTAATGATGGCTGTTTTGAAGTCATCATCATTTAGGTTATATATCTCATTTTCTTTGGGATTGTTTTCTGTGTATTTGTTACTTTCTTTCTGTTCTGGAGATTTAATGTATTTTTTCATATTGCTTGATGTTGTTGATTTGTGCCTCCGCATGGAGATAGAGTTTAGTTGCTCCTTTCACTTGTTTCAGCTGCTGCGGTGGGGGGAGCAGCTGTTTATACTTCACCAACCAGGAACCCTGTCCGTAGTTGCTAACTGGGCCTGGGCCCCTCTTCGTAGCCACAGTGGCCCTTTGGATTCCCTCCTCTGCCGTGGGGGCCGTCACGGGGGGCTTCAGGCTGCAGGGGCCTACTGTTGTTGCCCACCTAGATGCGCTCTCTCCTTGGGGTCTGCAACGGTGTTATGGGCTTTTCCAGCGGCCAGGGGTGGGATCACTTATATTTGTCGCTCCGTTGCTGTCGGCACCCACCAAATCTCACTTGTCCTCTATGGGTCGCAGGAGAGCTATTGGCATCTTCTACAGTCTGTGGTTAGTACACCTAGCTATGCTGCTTTTGCCCTGGGGTCTTCCAGCCTTGTGGCTGGCGGCTGGGTGCCTTCTACTGGTGCTGTGCAGAGGCTTTCCCTAAGGCTTCTGTGAGCCTGTAGGGTTTCCCCCTAGGCTACTAAGCTGGGTCTCTGGAACTCTCTCCAGCCCCAGTCCTCTCCGAGATCTCCGGCAATCCCTAGCCTCACCGGGTGGGCAACGGCAGCTGGGGGTCGCCCCGTCCTCTGGGCTTCTCTCCGGGCCTCTGCCGGGAGCTCTGAATGCTCAGCGTGGCCCCTCTGCTACCGGCAGACAGAGAGTTTTGTCTGCTGCCTGGCGGAGCTCCGGCGCTTCCCCTCCGGGTCGTCGGACCCGCCTTTGAAAGTTCCCCCGCCCCGGTCCTCTCCGAGATCTCCGGCAATCCCTAGTCCCGCGGGGCGGGCAACGGCAGCTGGGGGTCGCCCCGCCCTCTGGGCTTCTCTCCGGGCTTCTGCCGGGAGCCCTGAGTGCTCAGCGTGGCCCCTCTGCTACCGGCAGACAGAGGGTTTTGTCTGCTGCCTGGCGGAGCTCCGGCGCTTCCCCACCGGGTCGCCGGATGCGCCTTTGAAAGTTCCCCCGCCCCGGTCCTCTCCGAGATCTCCGGCAATCCCTAGTCCCGCGGGGCGGGCAATGGCAGCTGGGGGTCGCCCCGCCCTCTGGGCTTCTCTCCGGGCCTCTGCCGGGAGTCCTGAGTGCTCAGCGTGGCCCCTCTGCTACTGGCAGACAGAGAGTTTTGTCTGCTGCCTGGCGGAGCTCCGGCGCTTCCCCCCCGGGTCGCCGGATGCGCCTTTGAAAGTTCCCCCGCCCCGGTCCTCTCCGAGATCTCCGGCAATCCCTAGTCCCCCGGGGCGGGCGTCTCTCTGGGACCCTCCGGGCGCCCCGAGCACCAGGCTGGGTCTCCCCGCCAATGGCGGGGAGAGACTCTCCCCGCGGGCTCAGGTGTGCAACTCCAAAGTTTCCCTCTGTGTTTAGGAGTAATTGCAGGGGGTTTAAGTAGGGTTCTGGTCACCTGTTTCCACCGTCGCTCCTCTGTTGTGTTCTCGCTCCTGCCCTAGATGTGTGTGGATCCTCTGGGGGCGTCCGTTGGAAGAAAGCCGCTTGCGGGTACTAGGCTGCCCGTCGGGGTCGAAGAGTTTTCACCTATTTCCACATCCTCCCGGAGGAAAGTCCGTCCGCCTTCCGATGTATAGTCGCGTGGGTGTCTCAGACGTCCTGAGATGCTGTCTGGATATCCTTTGTCAAGCGATAAGTGTCCAAATAATTGTAGACTCGAAGGGCGAGAGACAAAGAGGACTACTCACGGCGCCATCTTCCTGTGCCTGCCTTTTGCAGTGGAAATGAAAGCCTTCTCTAAAGCTCTAGCTATTTTTGCCTCGATTAGGGGTTTTTTTGCTTCCTAGAGTTACACACATGCTAAATGCAACTCCCCTCCAATACCGTAAAATGACTCCCGCAGCTGACTTGCATGCTTTCTCCTCTGTGGGATGAGGGAAATGTTATTGAGTTCCGTGATTATTGTCAGATCAATGACAACTCCCGATCTGGGTGCCATCTGGAAGCATGGTCTCTTAACATTTAGAAGTTATTTACTCTGTGCTTAATTCGTGGGTTGCTTTTCCAACAGAATCTTTCTCTGCAACATCTGTGGTTTTACTCATTAACCGTTTTCTGCTCCCTCATATGTAGATTCATTAAACAAACTTCCAAAAGGAAGCAAGCTTGTTCAATCATTTATTCAAAAATATTTATTCAAAAACATTGATTAAGCACCTACTCTATTTTTTCCAGGAAAAACGTAGATGGCTATGGTCCTCAAAGTAATGCTCTATGCTGAAGAAAATAAACTGCAAAATCTGAGTGGCCTAACATAATAGGAACTGCATTTTCATTCATTTGACTCATGCAAATGCTGGTGCTGGGCATCCAGTGATTCAGGAACCAAGCTCCTTCCATCTTGTGGCTCCACCATCCTTGAGGGCCTCATCGCCCTTCACTTCCAGATGGCAGATGGGAAGGAGCGGACAGACAAGGCACACCAGGTTCATCACTTTGTCAACCTACAAGTGACACATCGTTTCTGCTCACATTCCATTAGAGAGAATCAGTCACAGGTAGATTGGCTAGGGGTCGGGGTGCGGGCAGGCTGGGAAATGTAGTCCTTGGCTGGGTAGCACCTTCCAGCCGCTCGTCCACACCACGGAGGCAGAAGAAGCATCTTCTGGCAGGTGGCTAACCAACTCTGCCACCCTACTGGAGATCCTAAGACGAATCTGAGAATCTGACTCGTTCTTATACATGTGAGAATCCTCAGCCACTGAACACTGAAAGAATTAACATCTAACCAAATTCCTTCCACCTCTGCCAGTTCACACCTTCTGAGAGTTCATTAAAATAACTAAAGAGAACCTGGAGAGCAAGTATAAAAGCTGTTTGCGAGAATCCACAAAAATGGGCGCTGACTGAAACAGAAGCGGATAGCCAACAACCTGTCTTTCTGCCACAGAATACAAAAAAAGAAGGGGTGTAGACCTATTTTATACAGCAGAATAACCCGTTTCTAGCAGTAAGTTCCCAGGCTGCAGGGATTAGACACGGCTTCGCCTAAAGGCCCGTTACCATAAAGTATGAGGCCGTGCCCAGAGTCACTGTAGCTACATACACAGATTAGAGTCCCCCACGTTTTTGTTGTTGTTCTTGTTAAAGATGATCTGCCTTGCATTTGCCTCAAATGCTTGAGTTTTCTGGGAGGCTGAGGGCTGAGTGAATGTGTGTTTGAGCAAGTGGTGGAAGGTCGTGGGGGGAACCATCATCTCTGTCAGCTCTGCCATCTTGCCCCTGGGAGTTGCAGCTCAGAGTCAAGAGAAGAATCCTAGAGCAGTGGTTGTCTTTGAGACCAACCTCGCAATGCCCACCTAAGTTTTAACTGTGGATTCCGATCTACCGGTTGAGGATTTTCGCGTGCCATTTATAAAGCCATAGCTTTTGTATAATGGGAAGGATGAGAAATCCATGCTCCTGTACAATGAGGAACATCAATTGTTATTATATAATCCCAGTGGGAATAGGAAAATGAAATTCAGCTTACTAGGAGGCTCCCTTAGACCCTGGATTTGTGTTTCCACTGGTGGAGAATTCTGTGGCTCTCACCTCTCATATTCCTCTGTCTTCTCATTGCTTTGTCAGAAGCTTTTACTCCACTCCGCTCTGATGCAGGGGGAGAAGTTACCATTTCCCATCTCTCTTTCTATCCTTACTTGTTTCTTGCCAAGGGAGGGAACACTCACTTAACTAATGAAAGCTTGGTATCTATGGAGGCATTCTTCTGGCAACTTGTTTCACTTTTACTTGATTTTGCTACTGCTTTTGTTGTTTTTACCAAGGTGGATATGTTGAAGAGGCAACATGGACCTTCTTCCACCTGCTCTGTGATGTTACCTCACAGATCAGTCACAAGGGCAGTGGGTCCTCCTCTCTTTCTTGCTCCCAAGCAGAAGTCCCACCTGGGTGTGGCCTGTCTCTTAGACACAAGCCAAAGGCTGTATCTCCCTGAGTCTTCTGAATCTGCTGGCAATTCCATATGAGAAGAGGGCTATGATCCTCCACTTTTAGGTGAGTGAAACCAAAGTCTATTTTTGCTCCAATTCTCCCCACCAGTGAGTCACAAGGTCTAAGTATGAGTAGATGTTAATAGAATGCCCCCACATTGACTTCAGACTCGGCCACTTTCTCTAGTCCTGCTTTCCCAAGGAGCCCTGTATTTTGGAGACCGTTGGGTCACCATTCATGAGGCTTATGTATTGATCCCCACTGACTTGTTGGGTCTGTTTCCTAAAAGTTAGAGCCCAAGGGGAGGAGTGATGAGGAGTTGGAACCCCTATCCTCCAACACAAGTAAGTTAAATAACATGTTTAAAATAATCCTATTATTTACTACTGTACCACCCAAATTCCAAAACATAGTTAGTTATGTAAAAAACAGCACCCGCTCAAGGAACTTTTTTCTACCCCTTTGCCTTACCAAATAATTAGAACCACATCAACTGTCATTCATATTCTTCAGGAGAAGTATAAAAATGGTAGGGGAGTTACGAGGTGTATTAACTGTGGTTTCTGGATGTCAGTTCTAATGTTGGGTGAATAGCCAGTTAGGATGTGACATTTGTCTTAAGTAGCAACCCCCCACTGCCTCCCTTTGAGGCAATGCATTATCCCTCCACTACTGTGCTGGGCCTTTCACATCATGGTGCGTCCTGGAGCATGAATGTACTTAAGCAAAATTCAAAAGGTGAACTCTTGCCCGGGGTGGTGGAGGGAGGAGGGAGATGGGAGGCTAAAAAACACTGCATCAAATTTTTCCGTATTCAGGGAAAAATCTCATTATGTATGATTCACATCACTGAGTGTCAGTGCCTGCTTCTCTTTCTCTATTCTAGGTGGGCATCCAGAAGCAGATCTGCACTTGTAAACACAAAGCCACATGTTCAGACCACACTGGCTATATCAGACACCTTCTATGCCTGCCCCTTTTATTCCAGCTTTTGCTGTGGCAACCAGCTGTGCATGGACACAACCTGACAGCTTCTTGCTCAGCTGCGCATGGGGCGTCTTGACATCTGTTCGAAACTTCTCAGCCATTCTGATGCATGTCTACACGTGGGAGTGTCAGCCACCCTGGACCAACAGAAGTCCCTGGATAAACTCTGCCCTCTTTCCTGGCAGGAGCGAACAACTCTGAGGTGCATGCTCCATGGCTCCTCAGAGGGGTCTCGGCAGGACTGAGGTCCATTTGCCCACAGCAGTGACCAGCTTTCCCAGCTTCCCAATTTCACTCTTCCCAGACTCCCACTCTCGTTCCTTGGGATCACTTCTCTACATAAAAGACCTCCACACAAGAACTGGAGGCAGGCTCTACCTTTTGGGGAGACACAGGCTAAACACTAATTGAATGAGCTTTTCAGATAACAATACTAAAAGACCACAAAAACTGCGATATCTTCAAGAGGAACATATATATATATATATATATATATATATATATATATATAATTTCTTTCCTTTTTGTTATGGAAATACTAGAATGTACAGAAGACTCAAGAAAATAGCATAGAGGACCCTCATGTATGCATCTCCAAGCTTTAATAATTGTTACCCTTCTCTCTTTTCCAGCAGATTTTTATTTTTTTTGCTGGGGGAGATTCACCCTGAGCTAACATCTGTTGCCAATCTTCCTCTTTTTTTTTCCTCCCCAAAGCTCCAGTACGTAGTTGTATATCCTAGTTGTAAGTCCTTCTAGTTCTTCTATGTGAGCTGCCGCCATAGCATGACAGATGAGTGATGTGGTTCCATGATAAATAGGCAGAGCAGCAATTAAAATGTACATTTCTTCAGAAGGTAGCAAGGATGGGGTCGGTAGAGAAGTACCCTCAGGAGTCCTGAAGCCAGCTCCCCCCATTACCTTACTGATGGTAAGTGTTTGCAAAGTCACTGCACACTCCTTTTGTAGAGAAGTAAGGAAAGCAACAAAGATTCCCACTGTGACGCAAAGAGCATGAAATACACTGAGCTGGGGAAGCTTATCCAGCCCTTGCTGGAGCAAGATCACCATGGCTCTGAAGAATAGGAATTAAGACAGAAGAAGAAAGAGTGGGAGGAGGCATAGGAGAAGGAGCACAATGAGAGAAAGAGGGAGAAAAAAGGGGGAGGAGAATGAAGGGAGACCAGGAGAGCGAGGGATGGGCTGGAAGAAAGAGAGTATGTGTTTAGTGAGATAAACTTTAAAATCCCAGACAGCACTAAAGCATCTGCATATGAGACAGGTAGACAATGTATGGTGAGGATTTGCTCCTGAGTAGGACAGATGCCACAGTGATGTGTTACTAAACCAAGGGATAGAATCCATTTTCTGTCACTCCTTTGCTGAGAAAACCTCAGTGGTTCCACATGGCCTACGATTTCAGGGACAACACTAACGTGATGGATATTGAAGGTGTTTCATAATATGGCTCCTTTTTCTTCCAAATACAACCGGATACCCCTCTGCTTCCTACTGTGAGGCTCTATTCCCACCACATGGTTACTTCCTACAATCCCAGAAAGCCATTTCTACCCCTTACCCTTGGCCACACTGCTGCCTCTCCCTGGACTACCCTTCTCATTCTTCACACACATCTCCATGGAAATTCTACTCAATCAAGAGGACTCACCTCACATTCCACCTCCTCCCAGAAGCCTTCCTTAACTACTCCAGCCTCGACTGATCTTCCCCATTCTCTGAAGCCTGGCTAAACTCAATCTGGATCATTCTCTTTCTGAAACAAATTGGTAAATGAATGAATGAAACAAATAAACTATTTGCACCATTCATGTCCTTTCTTAATCACTCATTGCCTTGCTCTATTGATTATTTCATGCATAAATCTTTCTCTTTTCATACAGATTGCACACTCGAGACAAGTGAGAACATAGTAGACCCAACATCAGAAAAAAGACATTCAATACTGGGAATCTTCTGCATCTCTCCCTCCAATGGGATAGCATTTCCTTAGTATAAATGAAAGGAGAAGAGTGTTCTATATGACAAATTCCTCTTTGTCTAAACAAGTTTGTGGAATTCATAAAGAAACATCTTCTGCTTCAACTTTTAAGAGACAGAAAGCAATTTCTGGTAATCAAAGGAGGTGTCTTTTCTACATCAGCGTTCCTCCTGGAAGGAGAGACAACTCCTGGTCTGACAAGAAGAGATGGACTGCCTGCTGAGCCATATGGAGCCAGAAACTGAGGGACCATCACATGAGAGCTGTCCCGCTGATACGGCACTGCCTTGTGTTACGCTGTTTTTAAACGGTGTTTGAAGACCCACATTCCCTGAGATTCACTGGCACCAAAAAAGCTCACTTAGAGCTTATAGTAAACTTACAACAGGGGCCACATTTTCATTGTGAATTTCATGATTTTTTTTAAAAAGCTTCGATTCTGATGTTATCATAAAAATTATTTTTAAATTTACAAAAGTGAGTTTATGTTTGATTTAACCACACAGGACGAAATTACCAATAATAGACAGTAGTGCTTAGAAGAGATGTGGAATGAACAAGCATTGCAGGGGAGATGGCTTAGTTTTCTGACAAAACTGATTGTGTATTGTCGTGGTCCACTTGGGCTGCTATTACAAAATACCACAGACTGGGTGGCTTACAAACAACAGAAACTTATTTCCCAGAGTTCTGATGGCTGGAAGACTGAGATCAGATGGCCAGCACGATTGATGAGGACCCTCTCCTGGGTTGCAGACTTCTCACTATATCTTCACATGGCAGAAGAGGCGAGAGAGCTCTCTGGAGTCTCTTTTATGGCATCAATCTCGTTCATGAGGACTCTCACCTCACGACCTAACCACCTCCCAAAGGCCCCACCTCCTAAAACCACCGCATTGGGCATTAGGATTTCAACAAACGAATTTTGGGAGACACAGACATTCAGAGTATAGCATGTATATGTAACATACTGCCCACAGATTTGACTGTTGCAGCATAATTATAAAAAAAAACATTTTTGCAAAAATATTTGAGAGCTGTCTCAATTTTCTAAGTGTTTTCTCTTAATACTTTGATAGTTAAATAACTTTCTTTCAATGAACCTCTCATATTATCACAAACTTTTTCCCTCAAGACAGGAAAGAGGGCAGTCTTTATCCAGGGACTTCTACTGGTCCAAGGCAACTCTCATCACCATCATCATCCGCTCAAACTCTGCCAGAGCCTCTCTGTCAATGGCTTCAAGGGTCATCTGCCCAATTCCCCAACATCAATTTATTATCTTTGTGAAATCTTTCATCTTTCATAAGATTAGAAATTTCACTTTATAACATTTCTATGTATTTACACTGTATTATAAGATATTAAACAGCACTAATTTTTGATCAAAAAAGACATTGACCTGTTGGGCCAGCACAAATGACAGTGATAAGAAGGAAGGGATAATTTAATGGGAATTAATTTAATTTGGATATTTTCTTATATTTTTCCCCATAGAGCTAAGTAATGTCGGCTCTCAGGAAACAAATACTAAGACTTCTATTGCATACTCTACTTCAGGGCTGCTCAGACTAAGATTTGAGAATAAACCAATCTGCAAACTATGCGTTTCTGGCCTGTGAAAAGATAAAAGCAAAAATTGAGAGTAAGTAAAGTTAAGTAACTTTTATACCAATTTGGCATTGCTGGGACATCCAAGAGTGTGATCAGTGAAAGCATCTCATTGAATGAGATATGGGCTATTTTGGGTGTCACTGAACTTGGCTTGGAGCAAGCTATGTACCAGGCATGTGCCGTAGGAGGACCATGTGTTGTTCTGTGATGGATCGGGACTTTAAAAAATTGGTGCTTACTACAAACCCTTTGAGAAACCCTGCTCTATTCTATACCACAGAGTATCCACTGGTTCAGAAAACTATAACCCTTACTCATCTAGCAATACACATCCCTCAGAAAATCAATCTTTCCATGAGGGACTTCTGGTTATTTTCTTTTTTTAAATGAGTAACCCCTTGCTCTTTTTAATTTTATTTATTTTTCCTCATTACATTTTACATCTCTGGTTACATTTCACCATCATAACTTTCTAAGATGAGCTGTCCCATAATAGAATTCCTGACTTATTAGATAGCGATTTCCCTGATGCTAGAGGTATTCAAGCAGAAGCAGGACAATCACTTGAGGGTGATTTTGTTAAGGAGGAATCATGTATCAGATAAACTTCGGAATTCTAAAATTCCTCTGACCCAGAATTTTGCAACTGAATACCACCATTCCTCAACACAAGAGTTATTTAGCACATTTCTGACCTTAGACAGAAAGGAAGGAGAGAAAAGAGCAGTTTTGTGAGCCATCCTTTGGTGATGTGCTTAGGGCTAGTGGTCCACAACATTCTCTACATTTCCAATTTGTTCATGTTCTAAACTGTGATAAAAGTTTGAAGGGAACCAAAAATGAAAAATATTATTCCTTGAGAAAAAAACACTTGCTCTAGAGCTATATGGAAATGTAGCCACAGTGAATACCTTGCACAATGAAGAATTATGTATTGTATTCCCTTTGGACTTTCAAAGCCAAGCAAATATTTAATTAAAAAACATCCTTTTGAAATTGACTTTGTCAGAAGTCTCACGCTTTTCTAGGCCTGCCTGCCAGACATTCTCTGTCTGGCTTCATCTTGCTCTGTAAGAGTCTTTGTGATTTCCATAGACAGACCCCTCTTAAGCAAAAAATAAAACACCTGTCTCTAGCAACCTTTTGAGAAGACAGTTGGCTTTCTGGTGTTCCTGTTTATAGAGGGTTGTTCATCTGGTTCATCTCTCATTCAATGCTTAAATACTCTTCACAACTTCCCTAATCAATTGGGGGACTTCACGACCTCTCAAAACTGCTCATCAGTATACAACTGGGGGTTGCTCTAATTCTCTTTTTTACATCGCATTAACATGTGCCTCTCTGTAACCTCTACCCATTGGTTCCAACAAAATATTTAACAGATCTTAAGATGCATGAAAATATTTTCTGGAACACACAGAGTCTTTATTTCCAGGCTAACCCTCATTATTTAGGTACAAGATTTTGACTCCTGTCACCATTGTCCTGGACATATTCCAGTTTGATTTTTTTCTCCTATCATGATTTCCCACACACCGATACGGTTCTCCAGGTGTGGACTGACCATCTCTTAGTGCAATAGGAATGCCACCTCCCTCATTCCAGACTTGAAAGCTACATCTGACACCTGTAATGGGCCCCTTCCAGCAGTCTTGGCTTCACCTGTCTTGGCAGCCTCAGGACACTTGTTCCAGCATTCTGTGGCATCCGACCAAGCTCATGCAGGTGCAACCTGACAGCACCTTGTTCTTTATGCCCCACTGAGCATCTCTTGTCTCCTTCCCCATGATTGTGTGATACTGAGGTTTGGATACGGTGCAGACCTGCTCGGTGCCCATGTAACACCC